TATGCAACCATCTTCTTCCTCTTCTTCTTCTTCTTCTTCCTCTTTTCATTTTTCTTTGCCCTTTTTTCGTAGCGTTATCTGCCGCGATTATTACGTATTAAGTTTGGCTCGACGTCGAGAGAAAAGTCGAGACAAAGACGAGTCACGGCTTCGAGTTTATTCATGATACGAACAAACGAGACGTCTGACAGGAACGAAGCTAGCCATAAGATTTCACGGAGGTAAGTCTAAGTACCGAGATCGCCGTAAAGAGACATTGAACACTTTGAAACTTCGTTCCCTGTTACTTCGTGAATTTCTCAACAATCTTCTCGTGAAGTATTCTCCTTTGACTGTTGGAAGTTTTATACGTTTTACGCCCGTGCCCGCCACGGTATACTCACCTGGATGTTGGATCTCGTGTGAGAATTCGGTAGCGCCTGTCGGACCGCAGGACTCGAACTGGCACGCGAGACGATGTTGGGGTCGGATGAAGAATACGAGACAAGTGGTCGTGTTTTGTATTTTTTTGTCATTTTTTTCAACAGGAACGTACGTTTATTTTGCACTGAGCAGAAATACAAGCTATTCATGAAAGATGAGGTTACAGCGGCCGCAAGCCCCTCCCCGCCCCTTTTTCCTCTCCGCACCTCGACGTTCGTCAAAACTCGAATAGTCACTTTTATCCCCCCCGGATAGACACGCGTACAGCAACTCGTTCTTCTCTCTCCCTCTCACCTTACCTGCTTCCCCTTCACCTCCCCTTCCCAACCCCTTGTCGAGTGTGCCCTTTTCTTTCTTTCTTCTTCTTTTTTTTTCTTCTCTTTTCCTCTGTTTTCCTTTGCTTTCCTTTCGTTCATTGCTATTACTCTTAATCGCATCGCGTTCTCTCACCACCGCCCGAACGTAGAGCAAGATTATTAATTATTAATTATCATACATGTACATCATAATTACATTTTTGTGCATTATCATAATTTAATATACATATATAGATGATATATATATTATATCTTAGAAAATAAATATATATATATATATATTTTTATATATATATTTCAATATCATTTTTTTTTTTTATTTCATCATCTTCGTGTAATTCTCCTTAAAAAATAACGATATTTAGAGTACGCTAACGATGTTTTTTTCTGTTTTTTTTCTTTTTTTTTTCTTCTTTTTTTTTTAATAATAAGAGCCACCAAGAGAGGAAAGAAAAGACTGAAGAGGAATAAAGTGCTGCGAGGCGGATTTTGAGCCGCTCGATTTTCGCTTCTTTCTCTCTCTTTCTCGCACGCACGCCCGCACATACACAACGCTCACACGCACTTCGTATATGTATATCTATACTTATATTATACATTTATGTGTACGTATATATATATCCGCAAGCAGCGCACAATATACACGTGCATAGGAATTACGCAAGGACAACAGACATACATTCTTGTTCGCGCGCACACACACGCGCACGCACGCACGTCTCTCTGTCGAAAAAAGAAAAAAAAAATTTCCTCCTTTCAATTTCTTTTTTTTTTTTGCATACTTCTAACCCATTCAATTTCCTTGTTCATTCTCGCTCTCTAGCGCTTTTCCCTTAACCGCTCCAATCATATCACCCGTAAGCATTCTTTCACTCCAACCCCCCTCTCCCCTTTCTCTTTCACTCCTGCGCTCTATACCTTGATTCCTTTCCATTCACCCGTCCTCCTAGGCATTTTTACTAGCGGTCCCGAGGTGGCCAACGACCCTCCATCCTCCCCCACCAACAAAGGGGAGCGAAGATAATTTCCAGTCACGGAAACCTTGCCCTGACGAATGCCAGCGACACTTTCGACCATACCAGTTACACTGGCCACTGGTCGACTGGTTGGTATAATTTTACAAAAGTTCTACCCCTCGTTGTGAGACACATTTTGGGAGAATTTGGAGACAGGTCGAAACAGTTGAGGATGTTGAGGCCCGTTTGAAAAATGAATCAAGCACGGAAAACAGTACGTAACGTGTCTGTCTGTCTGAGAAAACTTTATTACCAATTCTTCCAAATATCGATGTTAATATTCCATAATGTTTATAAATATTAGTTGTGAAAGAAACGTTTCTTTCTCGTCACTCTCCTTATCATCTGCCTCTAAATTGTCTCAATTCTCTGGAATTTCTCGGTGGCCAACCTCGGCGTTGCAACCAATATATCCGCGCAGGAAGCAATCGCTATAACCGTCGAAAAGTGACTATCACATGAAAGCTATTTAATTTCTTCGATCGCGAAAGGAGCGGCCACCACTGGTAGAGCGAATGGGCCGGCGTAAACGCTAATTACGATCCTATTAAATCGACAAGTATCTTGCCAGTCGAGTCTGCTCGATATCGAGACCAACTCATCGCGCTAAGATCCCACTAAACATATAGGATCGATAAACAGAGTTAACAAATTCGACTAAAAAATCTAATCTCTGTTACAGAGACGTTCTTCTCTTACATCTTCCTCGCGCGATCACATCTCACGACCGACAATTCGTCTCTAGGAATGACGCGTTAGAAGGAGGACATCTGTGTTGAAAGCAAGCTCACTCAAGCACACGATGAGAATTTGTTTATTAATTGAATTATTTACAAAGCGCGGCCGGCCCGGTCGCCCCGTTAGCCGAATAAAGAAGCGTGCGCCGTTCGTTGACGCAAAAAATCATTTCTAGGCAGACAACAATTAGAAGATCGATGAGAACCGCGAGTTAACGGGTTAAAGGGACGTTAATTTGTTATTGTGCAGGATCGACCAATCCCATCGAGGGGGCACACACGAACTGAGGACGTTATTCTGAAAATAATGAAAATAAAGCCGCGTAACGGTCGGTCGTGTTCGAAGCGCCTCCGTAAATATTTTCTCAGCCCCTCGATTCGATCGACGCGTCCCCTGATTCCCTATGTCGGCGTTTCTCATCGATCGTCGCAGCAATTTTCGTGCACACATCGAATCGAAACGTCCCGATCGCAAACATACGCAAGAAGAACGTTGTCGACGCTCGCGGAGCCATCCTCCGCATCCGTCGTCGCTCGATTTGAGATCGATCCGTGTCGATCCGTCTCGATTCGTTTCACGAATCGGCCGAACCTCACGATTCGATGGAACTTGCTCGCGGCTAGCTTTCGACTTCGCTTTCGCATGCAACGAACTAACAAAATCAAGGGTAACGGTTAGAAAAGAAAAAAAAAAGTCAAGAACAATGCGGTAGGTACAGCTCTTACCATATTAATCATAGCGACGGTGATGAACGATACAAAGACAGCAATTGAGGTTCTCTGCGATTAGATCGAATAATTTACGTAAAAATTTTTGCGCCAAGTGGTACCTAAGAATTTGCAATTCGCACGTATATCGCGTCCTTGCTTCTCTCTCTCTCTCTCTCTCTCTCTCTCTCTCGATTCTCAACTTTTCGTTAACCTCGTGTTAGCTCGCTCGATAATTTATCGACTCGGTAGAGTTTGCCTCGATTCACGGCACGCCATTTCCACGAGACACATTGCACTTGGTTCACTCACGCATTCGCCACGCAGATACATCTTCGCGGTCTTTAGCTTCTTTGTACATCTTTGTTCGTCACGCACGTGCACGCAGTCGCAGTCTTTCTCTCATACACAGAGTCTCCTTGGTCCCCCCTGGTTTCGCCACCGTGAACGATCGATGCTTCCTCTACGAAATTGCCGGCCCGAATAATAATTCCATCCACTCTGCCTCTTTCCCTCCGCCCCTTGAAAGAGAAGTCGGAGACGAACCGCGGGGGAAAACCAAGGAGACCAACAATAAGAAGAAGGAGAAGAAGAAAGGAAAGAATTAGACGCACGAGGGACAAGTTACCAGTTGGCTCGTTTCATCCTTCGACCAGTCTTTTGTGGCTTGTTTTCGTGGCCAATGTCTGTTCCGTAGGGTTTCTCACCAGTATCCATAGATGATCGGCTCGAATCTTCCAGTTTAGACGGAGTCGTCGCGTGAAAAGTGCTGCCTCGAAACGCTCTCGGCACGCGGCTATCTCTGGCGCAACATCTCGCCCGGGAGTAGCAGCTCTCGTGTTCATTTCCAGATATACAATTTCATCCATATCAATAGAATTCCGAGGGTGGTTCCGGGGAAAACCCACTTGAACTCAGAGTTCAAGCTCTCGACGGTCCTCTGGAGATAAGAAACCAAACGTCTATGAATACCGCTGCACAGGGATCGACGGCGAAGTAGTGGTGTTCTCGTAAGTGAGAATTTCTGGGAAACACGAGTAGGTGTCAGTCGATCGTAACTGATCGCTATTCCTCCGTGACCTCCTCGAACGATCCGGTAGACGGTGTACAGTTTCGATTCTTTTCACGACGAAATCTCGAGTCGTTGCCCGGACGCTGATGGAAAATTCGTAAATCTCGAAGTGTCGAAGAATCGAGGCGAGTCTCTCTGTTCTTCGTTTACGCGAACTGCTGCTCCTGACGTCTCCTCGTCGAATCTCGCATAGTTTTGTTTTAGAATCGGCAAATAGGCCTGCATAAAGAGCAATTAGGCGTCGAGTCTCTCTCTCGAAAAGAAAGAGATTTCATTCTCATTCTCTGCTCATTCTTCGTTCTCTTGCACATTCTTCTTCCCCTTTCCCTTCTTTCCTCGATCTTTCACGGCTCTCTCCTCTTTCCCGCCTAACTACCAGCGGTAATCCTAATCGAGTACTCTAATTACATTTACATTTATATTTATAATATATATATAATATATAATATATTTATATATAATAATAGCCGATACAAATATCACATGTGATCACCTACTAGACTCGTTACACGAGTACTCGCTAACTCCGTTGTACAAAACGAGTCGAGCCTTCGAGAGTTTTTTTTTTTTCTAGTCGACGCGAAGCTCTCGACTGTTGGAAGTCGCAGCGTGTAAATTAGTCCCGGTTACTCTGGAAGGATGTTTTCCGTTTCTTCGTGTTTCGCTTCTCCCCTCTCTTTTTTTCTTTTTTACTCAGTTTTCCTACTTATTAGTCCGTTATTATTTCTGTTTGTCTAAATTTTCCATTCTTTCCTTTTTTTTTTTGGCTTTTTCTGTTTTTCTCTGCGTTTCTCCCGCTCCCGCTTGTCTCTTTCACTTTCTATCTATTATCTATTCTTTAACTTTATTTCTTTTAACGAGTCGTCGAAGGACAGGTTCCTAATAATCGTATACAATGCAGCTCGCTCGGCGCTTAATCCACGAAACTCACGTCGAGACTCACGTTCGAACTACGAGACTCCTTCCGGGCCGACCACTCGTCGAAATTTAAAAATCGTGTAGCGCGCTTAATCGCGCTTCCGTCGAAACACGCGCACCGTACACGCTCCTCCCCACTCCTCCTGTGCCCGTCGAGCTCTTGCTCTCGTATCACGGCACACTCGCTGCGTGTCGTTGTTTATACGCGAGCCCGTGCAATAGATAAAAGAGCCGAACGTTTTCACGGGGGTCGGGGGTGGCTTGACACAATCCCCGCATCAACCTTTGCCGAAGAGACCCAAGAAGATCGGTTTCGAGGGATATTTCCTCAACGAGGTGATCGATAACCTCCGGAACGAGGCAAGCTCGAGTCCATACGACTATCTGTTTATCGTCTCGCAACCGAATAATATCGAATATTATTGGCATATCTCGTTGCAACGTACTGAAAGCTAAATGTTTCCTTCTTTCCTCTGTCTTTCCCCTCCTGTGTTCGCGATGTATATTAATTTCGTGTTTCCGAGATTACCTGTCATCTCGATGAGAAAACGAAGAAGCAGCAGATAATACGGCGTTAGACGAAGAAGAAAAAGAAGAAGTCAAAGAAGAAGACGAAGAGGAAGAAATAACGCTGAGAGAAAGGAGCGACGGCTGCGCAAGCGCATTCTTCGTTTATTATAATTATATTTTCCCCAACGGCGAAAAAGCTGCGATTACAAGATTCTTCACTCGCTTAATCTCGTTCCCTCTATCTTTCTTCGATTTACTTGCCCTCTCTCTTTCTCTCTCACTCACTCTCTCTCGACTCTCGTTCTCTCGACCCTTCCTACCGCACGCGTCAGTTTCGCATTTTCTCTCTCTCTCTCTCTCTCTCTCTCTCTCTCTCTCTTTTCTCTTTTGTATCTTTAGTTCGCTTTAGTCGTAATACAAAATACTCGCTTAAAGTTTCTCCACGTCTTTTTTGCGCGCATGATCACACGTAATAAATCACATTATCATAATATGTTAATATTCACAATTATACAAATAGAGATGTATACACAACGAGGTACAGAATTCCAGAAAGAAAAAAAAAAAAAAGAAGAAGTGACACCCGCTCGCTGACGAGAATTCACGGTCTTCTGTTCGATCGGCCCGCTCATTGCCACAAATAACAATTTTCCACGCGAAACATATTACCATTCGTTCAAGCGTACGCCTTTCACTCGCCACTGCAACGTGTAATGTAATTTATCGATACATCTAAAACACACACCGTGTTCGTTTTTTATTTTTTTTTATTTTTTTTTATTTTTTTTTTTTATTTTTTTTACGTACAAGAAGAAACGTCAATGATCGACAAACGTTAAATCGTGGGTAAAACATGAGAGCACGGTCGCGTGTCTGTATAAAATCCCTAAAAATACTATTATACCCTACCATGAATTGTGTTGGATGACAATAGTGACTATGCGATGGTGACTGTTGGATCGTTTTCCATTTTCGAGTGTCGATCTCTGGCTAGCGCCGCGAGACGCGTGGAACGATTCGTCCACCCTTTGTGTAACAGCTTCCGAGCCCGCTATCCACTTCCTTCTCTTCCCTCTCTTGCTAGAGCTACTGTTGCTCTCGACGGCTCGTTGAAAATTAAACAACCAGGCTGTTTCCAGGGGAAATCGTCCGTCTCGGTGGACGTGAAGCGATTCGCTCTCACGGCGAGTAGCACGAACATCGAGTCGGTTGGCCGAAATCGGTTCGGTTTCTTTTCAGTTAGGCCTCGAGGCGGTCCGGCTGTTCCGTACGATACCTCGTGAAAAGCGAATTTCTTACGGAATGCATTGTGTTTGCCCCTCTTCATCCTACGCCCCTTCCATCCTCGCTCTATCATACACCCTGTGCGTGTTGCAATCGAATCTCTCTGCTCTCGCTTTTCCTCTCCTCGTCGAGATTCCTTGGCTGGCGTGTAATCTCTGATTTCATCTCTCATTACCCTTCTTGCCTTCTCCCGCTCTTGAATCACGTCGAAATCAAGACGCGCGTACCACGTACGTAACGTGTGATTCGTGGGTTGCGTGTTAGCAGACGGCAGAATGCTGTTATTTCCTTTTTTTTTTCAATATTTCCTTGAGCGTGTGTGTTCGTGTTGTCCGGTATGTGCATGTGTAAATTGACGTAATCTTACGTTGTTGTCTTTCGGACTTGATCGGCGTGCACCGGACTCGTGTCGCTGTTAAGAGCGCGTCGCGTACCGCGTCTTGTTCTTTACTTCGTTGGCGGTATAATAATCACTTATCCGATCGCCCCGTTCGCGTTGGACTTTGGCTGCTTCTCAGGAGCATATTCTCCTCGCAGGTATATGCTTATTACGTTCGCGTTAATTCGTATATATGTGTGTGATTCTTTTTATTTTTTATTTTTTATTTTTTTTTTTTTTTTCTATGTGTACGTGCATATTCGTAAAAGATGAAATTAGAGACACGGAGAAGGACGGACGCTCCTTAATACGCTGTGCGCCCTCTGTGATACTTTTTCTTTGTTTTCTTTGATATTGTTCTTTGTTTTATTTAACTCGTTGCACGATTTTTACAAGTCTTTAAATGCCAAAGGTCACTTTTTTAAAAATATAGGTATCTCTCTTCCACCTCTTCGCTCGTTTCTCTGCTTACTTCGATTTCATCTGTCTCTTTTCAACACTCTCTCTTCTCCTTTTCTTTCAATTTTTGCCTCTCAAGTTTTCCCTTCTTCTCTCTCTCTCTCTCTCTCTCTCTCACTCCCTCTCTTTCGCTCGTATACTCACACAGAAAAGCTAACCAAAGTACCCTTAGCACTTAACCTAACCACCTTCCCCGTCGCTATTTACTGAAATCTCTCCTAAAGGTGTAATTTCCTAAAAATAACGTTAGTTGTTTAATCAGTTCGTTTCTTAATGCATCGAATTGCCTAGATGCCCCATATTTTTCAGCACGTTCTTCCCGTCCTTTCGCTTTCTTCTTTTTCTGCGACACCTGTTCGTCCCCGCGATCGGTAAAAATCGAACGCGTCGGATCAAACTTAAACGAAGAGCCTTCGTTTTCATTCTCTGTCCTCGCCTGTTTTCTTTCCAAAATTTTATCCCTTAGCCCTTATCCCTAGATCTTATCTATTTACGTCGCTCTTTCTTTCATTTCTTACATCATAGGATCGCGTCTGTTTCTCTTTCCTCTCCTCGTTCGATCGCCTTCAGCCCCGACACTCATCTATTCACGCTGGCTCTCTGTCACTCACAGTTTTCCTCGTTTTCACTTCAAAGTCCTGCAATTTACAGAGTTTACTATACAACATGACTGAAAATATCTTAGACCACACAGCTAATACAATTACGAATGGTGTCTGCGTTTCCCTCTCCTTCCCTTTCTTTCTTAATTCTCGTTCTCTTTTGCGAACCACTCGGTATTCGTACGTATTCTCCTTTTCCTTCTTTTCACCGTTTCACCATCTTCTTACGTATTACACACTATATACTGCCTACTATTCACCTCGGTCATACTGTACGCGAGTATCATAAAACACTTATGTCCACTTATCGTACCTCGTACAACGATACAGCATCTTCTAAAATCCTTAGAGTTTCTCTTAGGTACTTACATCTCTATCTATGTATATCCACCTATCTATATTTATAGATTTTTTTTTATTCATTTATATATAATAACTCTTTTAAATCCCCCCCTTCCCTCCCGCCCGTCCCCAGTTCACCCCGATCTTTCGTCCCCCCCCCCCCCGTCTCTCTCTCTCGTTCCGACTTTCCTCTCTTTGTCGATCTATTTATCTGCCTATCTAAGATGTCTATCTAACGATCTAGCTATCCATCTATCTATCTAAACTTCTAACTACCATTTATTAGTGTCCGTTTAAGGTGTCCGCTTTTTCACGTTTGTGTCGCTTCTCTCCTTTAATTACACCTGGCGTCGTCCCCGTCTCCGTTTTCTAGTTTTCCATGTCCCGACTCCCTTTTCACCCCATTGCACACGCTTGTCACACGGGTCGTTCGAGTTTTAAACGAACGCGGACCTTCTCGTTAGCAGTGCGATCGTTCGTTACGCATATAACGTTAATGTACGTGTATTTTATATCTACAGTGTTTCGTTGGTCGCCGGGATGGAAACGCGCGAAAACGCTGGTCGCGATCGCGAGGGCCGATCGTTGTGACTCGATCGATTCTGTTCCCTGCCCCAGTTTCTTTTCTTTCTTTTTTTTTCCTCTGCTCTTCGCGATTGGCGCGTAGAAGCGAAGAAGCCTACCGAAGAGAGAAGATTGCAAGAGTCGCTTCGAGATTTTCCGATCTCGTGGAGCTGCTCGTTTGGTCGCCGGGGGTTGCGAACGATCCGAACGGATTCGACGGGTCCGTCTAACGCCTGTAACGAGAGGAACGTCGTGACCGAGCGACGAGCACCGTTTTTTCGTATTCCTCGTTCTCGCCACTCTCTCTCTCTCTCTCACTCTCTCTCTTTCACTCTCTCTCTCTTTCTTTCACTCTCTCTCTCTCTCTCGTCTTACCGGAGACAAAGAAATAAAGAAAAACTGTGTATCGAGAAAAAAGAACGGTCGGGACGTCCTCTGTGTCGGGGCGCCGCGCGATACTTCGTAATATATGGCTATCAAAAAGACATCTGGCTTCTTCTCGTTTATCTTCGTTTTTTTTTTTTATCCTAAGTCCTTGTAAATGCTGCATATATATATATATATATATTTACTTTATTTATAATTATCCGTGAACATGGTAACAAATAATGAAACACTGACAAAAATTGCACAATATACAAACTTAGTGTTCGGTTCTCTCTCTCTCTCTCTCTCTCTCTCTCTCTCTCTCTCTCTCTCCCTCACATGCACACTCTATCTCGTTTTCTCTTTACTTTTATTTCTTTATGCTTTCTGCCTGTGTTGGATCCGTCTGTGTCTTTCTCTCTCTCTCTCTCTCTCTCTCTCTCTCTCTCTCTCTCTCTCTCTCTCTCTCTCTCGCACACACGACCTATCACACACATGCACACATACACTCTTTCTTTCTTTCTCTCGCTACTTTTTCTTCATTTCTCTCTCTCTCATCCCTTCCCTACATGTGTATGTTTTCTTTGAAAACATCCATCCCCCGTCCCATTCCCTTGTAAAAGCCACGAAATCGATTTTGGAACACATTCTCGCGGGGAAAAAGAAATATGGTCACTCAAGCGCACGCACCTCCTCGACGCACTCACGCAAATTGACGCAAGGGAATAAGGAAAAAGAAAAACATCATAGAGAAAAGAAGTAATACACAGGTGTCACAGACATCGAATAACGCGCAAACGTACATACACCAGCCACACGCGCGCAAATCGCGTCGATGCTCTCTTAATGTCAGTCAGGCTTACTTGGTAGGTACGGTATCGTTACGTTCTACGTGCGTTATCAGTAAATTTATTTGGCCACTGAACATTTAAAATTTAGTTTCTGTTTTTTTTTCTTTTTCTTTTTAATTATTCTTTCCCTCTAAATCCTCATTTCGCCCGCCAGCTCGGCCGCTCTTTGCGCCGTTTCGCGCTCTCAGGTAAGATTAGTCTTCTTAAGCGGTAAACACCTCTCCCCCCACGTTCTGCTTCTCTCTCTCTCTCTCTCTCTCTCTCTCTCTCGCTCTCTCTCTCATTCCATATTTCGTATTTAACCGTTTTACATTATTATCCTATTTTCTTTTTTAATTTTTCTTTTTTTTTTTTTAATCGCTTTTACTACTCTATTTTGTTCACCATCCGTTTGATGAGCGATCTACGATCCTTTCGTTCGTTCAGTCCATGGATACAACTCACGACTTGAATTTCGGGTTTAACCAAGTTGCGTTATCCCGTTTCGTCGCTGACGTTTTTTTTTTTTTTTCCATTTCTTTCTCTTTTTTCATTCATTCATTTTTCGTTACGCCCGTCTAGTTTCTCTTTCCCATTTTGTTTCTCGTTTCTTCTTTTCGCGTTCCCATTTATTTACCCCTCCACTGCGTCGTTCCCCTGCGCGATTCTCGTTTTCGCACGTCCGCACGGAAATCGATGATCAGCGAGACAACGGTGCACATCGGAACGGAAGTTCGTAGCCCGGGTTCCCGAGACACACGCATGGTCGAGGTGAATTGCGAGTCTGCCACGTCGTCTGCCTCCCCGGGGTTTTCAGCGCGTACGAGAGGGGATGGCGTGCTCGGCGGGCCAGTCTGACGCGTGGAAACGGTTCTAGAGCTTTGTGCGGAATGTTGCCCGTTTATACTTTGTATAATCCCTTATGTATAACAATATATTGTTTCGGTGAGTAAGACGAGAATATTAAAAAATATATATATATTCATTTATTTCTGTTGAGCCTCCGACAAGAATCTTGCCCGCCGCGCCGGGGACGCGTCGCCACCCCTGCCCGTGCGTCGCGCGGTATATACGCGTGAAAAGAAACAAGAAAACGTCACCTAGAAAGCAATCGTACAAAAGTACAAAGTCAGATTCCGTATATATCTTTTTATTCCTTTTTTTTTTTTTTTCTCTTTGTCCACTTATTTTCGTTAAAAACCATAGGACGCGCGCCACTACGAAAGAAGCTCCGTTCGGTCCGAATTCTTTTTTAAGGAAAAAAGTATCCTCGGCATCGGTCCGAGGTTCAAGAGTCGTACGGCGTTATGCTCTTTCTTCCTTAAAAATCACCCGTGAATGTTCTCGATGGTCGTAAAACGGTCGAATCTACAGTGTTTTCCTTTTTCCTTTTTCACTTTTCTTTCCGTACTCGTCCGTCGTACGTACGTGTATGTGTGGTATCGTTCGCACGAGTTTCCCCGGTGAAAACGAGGCGAACGGCAAGAGGGTGGAGGGACGGCGGATCGAGTTAGTCGAGTTGGAAGTGGTGCCTCGCGATATAATTCGCACTGTAAATTCGGGATTAGCGCGCGGCACGGGTAAACTTTGCCTCCGTCGAAACTGGCCGAAATCACGTATTCAATTACGGCTCGTCCTCTCTCACCGTGGCCTCGTCCGCCGCCCCCTTACAACAGACCCTCGTGTGACACGGTTCCGCGTTCCACCGGGTCGCGAATACAATTTCGATTATTGCCACCCGTCGAAGGATCCAAGCTCAAAAGCGTCGTGCACGTTTTCCCACCCACGAGCCGCCCATTCATCGGGTTACGGAGACAGAGAAGGACAGTGCGCGTGTATACGTGCGATGTGCAATATGTTCTCACGTGTACACGTGTAAGAAAGAAGAAGAGAGGGGGGAAATGAAGGAGTGAAGGAAATAACGTTTTGGCACCGACAGACAGCGTTATTATTGTCCTCGCGAATCGGGTTTCCTTGACTTTCGTTCGAATCCAAACGCGACGCCTTTGAAACTGATCGAGTCGGATCGGTGTGTCTCGCCAACTGTGTCTGTTACATAGTTTCATCGGGTTTCTCTTACTGTTACTCTCTTCGTTACGTGTTTCTTTTTGTTGCTGAATCATTCGCCTCTTTCTCTCTCTCTCTCTCTCCTGCGTCAGTCGCGTGTTTCGGTTTTGTGAAATTCGACCGTTTTACGGAAGGCAGACGATCATGCAGGAATTCACGCGCGAGTGGAATGTGCAACGTTGTCGCCGGGCGATCTTTCCAATTCATGCACGTCCTCCACGCCGATGCTGAGGCGGCCGTACGCGTAGGCAACTCGACAACTCCGACGGTATTCGCGCTGATCTTAGAATTTAATGAATTGGCAGTGATTAACATCTCGAGACGAGACTCGTCGCTCGTTGTCACCCGACTGTTCGTCCCCCGTAGGCTTCGTCTAATCGCATCAACGACGAACGCAGTCGTTCGCGTCTGATCGTTGTCTGCTCATCTGTCTCTAGTGCCAGCGTGTCTCGCGTAGAAAATACCATCGGAGCTTCTCTCCTTATCTCCTGCTCCTCGCCTTTCGAACGAACTGCCTCGAACAACCGAGGGAGGGGAACGTTCACGTTTTTTCCCTCCCCCGACTGCAATTTCCAATCGCAGTCGTCGATCCGTCAAGTATCTTCGTCTCGTCGTCTCGACGACGCGGTTGTAAAATCGTTCGTCGTTCGTCGATCGACGTTTGCCCTCCATCCGCAGAACGATCGCCGTCGTTAAGTGGCCGTTCTTCACCGATCGTCTCGCTCATCATCGATTGCCCACTTCCAGTGGCTATTAAAGTACTCCCGCGGAGTCTCTTGCGATCTTGCGTTACCGCACACGACGAAAACCGTGGCGAAATCGAGGGCCGTGGGTCGCGGTCGATCGCCGACGATCGAGCACATACTGCACATACGTGTCAGGATCGTCGTCAGGTGTTTGTGGAAGAAACGCGATCACGAGGAGGCCGTGTCGCTTGACGACTTGGGGGATCCTCGGGAAGGAAGGAGCTCCGTCTGCCGGTCCTGGACTGTTCCGCGTGTTGTGGACCGTTCGCGGTGACGATCGATTACACGTGTCTCTTCATGTGGAGGGCTAGGTGATCGCTGCGAGAGAAGCATCGGTCGCAGTGCCTGCACTTGAACGGCTTCGCGCCGGTGTGCTTGCGGTAGTGGCGCGTCAGCTCGTCGGAACGCGCGAATCGCCACTCGCAACCCTCCCAGCTGCACTTGTACGGCTTCTCTCCTGCAATGAAATCCAACCGACAGATTAGTCGAGAATTACCATGGTTCGGCGAAATTTTTTTCATCTTCCGGGAATCTTTTAACTCGTTGCTTTAAACAAGCATGACAGAGTCGTGCATCGAAAGACAATTTGGCAGTTAAATCCTTCTTTTAGTGGAGATACTAAGGATTAATTGTTTCCACTCAAGATCGAGTAGTTTGTGATTAGAAAATTAGAAAATTAATATTTGTAATTGGGAAGATTTACAGTTGAAGGATTAATTTGCAACGTTTTTTTCTATCTGAAATAGAATCACATAAACTTCTTAGTGGAAAGCTATAATTACAGGCGAATGAAAACGTCCATTAAATTCATTTTGATCAAAAATTGAAGTTCTGTGTTATCGAAAGGCATCTACTTTTATCATTTTATTCAACTTGGAACATTAGAGACGTTGGGATTTCTTGAATTTTTGTCGTTTAATTCTAATATTCATTCGTTCGATAAAATGAAGGAAAGTCGTTTCTCATGGTTTCATCCTTTGAAACGGATTTTAAGGGATTGTTGTAAAGGAAAGACTTCAATCTTTCAAACGATGGCTACGAGAAAAATTTTTTAAAGTTTTCACACGAGTTTGATCTTTTACAATTATCGAGAAAAAAGCTGTTTGTCTTCCCACTCGCTACATGATGTAAAATCACCTTCGACTGTCAAAATGGAGGTTTCGCGCGTTGAAATGAGATCAAGCGGATCGTTGCATGATCTCTTTTCGCAAAGTTACGTCAGTTTAAATCATCGACAATTTTTATTTGTATTTCAATCAGATATATAGATAAATAGGTGTGTTTAAACCCGTAACGCGGTCAATGTTTTAATAACCTTCACATGTATTAGTTTTCACAATTTCCCGACATTCGACGACAATACAATGAACGTGTGCACGGCGAAAAGGGCTTCGCCGTACCCTCCACGCTGGTTCTCCCTTGGAAATTACAAAACCGAGTCAAATATGTATATAAAATACCGCGTACAAAACGCTGCACGGTTGGTGGGTCGCCGATAAAGCGACGGACGACCGAAGGAGGCGTCTGGTAGCACGTGTGCCGCGACAAGGATCGTGGAACGGCTGTGACATTATTAACGCGTAAATAATCTATTCGGTAATATAGAAAGAGGCTGGCGTTGATGAGACCGCGTTACGCGACGGAAAATACAGACACGCCACCTGTGGCGCTTTGCCGGTGCGCTTAACGAACTGCGTTAGGATTTTAATAAAAAGAGGGAGATGAAAATTCAAAAAGAGATTAATAGAACGTTGAAGAAGCTAAAGTGTAACTCACGCGCGAGTGATTGTAATTACATTAATGGATTTAATTTCGACTGCGCCGCGCTCGCGTAGCGTCCCGATCGGAATGGAGGTGTCATATTCTTTCAAAATGGAGAGAGCGTCGTGGAGAGGCTGAAGAAAGTCTGAAAGACCTTAGAGCCTGCTATTAAAGGTTGAAAAACTTGGGCGGGCTTTGTCTTGCTGGATTTAGCGAAGCGCAGTTTGAAAGGGAGCTGGAGAAGATTGAAGGGACTCCTTCGGGCGGCTTCGATGATTCTCGTTAAAGTTTCAGGAAGGAGGGGGAGGGGGGCGATTTATCGCTGCCCTTTTCAGAAAAGTGGCAGAATCGAAAGCGAGGTTTTTGACCTACAGGCTTCTCGTCGTGTTTCTCTAATCAGGACGAAATGTAGATACACGCTGCTCCTTCGTAAAAAAAAAACGAAGATAAAGGGGAAACGCGCGTAATGGCGGCCGCCCGTTATATAAAACGATATAAACGGGCGTATAAAACCGCGGTGTAAAACGTTTGACATCTACGCCGCGGGCGACTCTGAACTTAATGAATTAAAAAAAAAAAAAAAACGGGAGAGAAAGAGAACAGACAGAGGGTTTGGACAAGGAAGGAAATACGAGAGGGAGGGTGGAGGGCCTTTAACGTAGCCCGACATTCGCGTGATGTGACGTTTTTATTGTCGCGTGCTTGTTTGCGCGCGGCTGGCAACGTTTCGCGTGTAATTTAAACGCGGTAATGCCGTGGTCGTGAATACGCGATCTTAAAAAAATTCACGCCACTGGAATATTGTTCCCCTTCGTCCGCCTCGTGTCGCATCGGTTGAATTGTCCAGGGAAATTCAACGCATATCATTAACATGTGTGTCTTACATTACAAACTAGACGCGGAGATACATAGCTTTCACGGAATAATTCATCGAGCATTTCTTTCCCCTCACGAAAAAAGAAAGACTCGAATAAAGCAAAGAAAGTCGCAGTGTTTCGCTGATACAAAATGAATTCTCTATGAATCCTCTCGTCACAGCACAGAGAAGTGAACCTCTCCCTCTCTACGAACCTCGCAACCGCTTTACAAACCCAGGGATCTACCTTACAACGCGGAAATACGAGCACCCTACTTCATTCAATTCCAGGAACACGCTTCGACCGAGCAGCTTTAAACGCACGCAACCCCTCGTCGTATCGAGCTGCAGCTCGCGTACACATCCGCGGCATCCACCGGTGAAGCCATTCGTTACGATTTCCTTACTATTCCGCCGCCACGTTCCACGGGCGGGATCAATTCTTGCTAACGAATTCGCGAGGAGAAACTTCTTCTCGATGTTCCCGCGCGCCAGCAGGAGGACAGGCCAGAGTTACGGCTGACGTTTACTCGACATTGACGCGCGACGGGGTTGGAAAAATGTTCTCGTCTCGAAGTTGTTCCGCGACGAGATTCGCTTTTTCCCCAAATTCCATTCCAACGAGAAGACAACAACGACGACAAATTCGGCGGCAATGCATAAGCAAATCCGATTCCTCCGCCCCTCGTGTCACGTTAGCTGGGGGGGTTGGCTTTGACAGAGATAGCCGCGACTTCTTACGTGGGAAAATACGACGCTCTCACGTACGCTCGTGCTTCCTGCCGAGACGAAGGACGAGCGTCGCTTCCTCGACACTTCGCGCGACTAGAAATTGCCACTGCCAGCCGGCTAAGACGATGAGAATTCCGTGAACGATAGGCATAAACTGTGTTCGGCGACGGCGGAGGAAAGTGGAAGAACGAACGATATATTCGCGAAGCTGCCGCGAATACGTTACCGACGCTTGAGTGGCGGGAAGAAAAATTGGTGACTGCCAACAGAGTACCCATGGAAGAGTGGATTTGCATGGAGAATACGTGCAACCTGTGTCTCGCGCTTCCGCGTTTCAGCAACGGTGACGTGACTCGTGTCGAGTTTTCTATTGGTTTTCGAGCGTATCGATGAAAGTGTCATTCTTGGTTCAAACTCGCAGCGTCACGTTGAACGAAGTAGAAACTGTTCGGGAAATAGCGTATTGTCGTTTATGGACTTCTTAATTTTATAATCGTGTCCGATCGAATCCGGAGTCAGGGTGTTAACGAAATTTCAAAATTTATGTTTTACAAAACGCGTGTACAGTATATCGTCAACGTTCAAACACTTTCGCGAGCCAGTACAGACGCAGGATATTTTATAAAAATTGGAAATTTACGTTAAACGAAATTGCAAAAGACGATGGTATAGCACTTTCCCGAGCACGGCTAGAGAATATCAATGGATCGGCAAAGAAGTCGAACGTTTCGCAGAAAAGCATCCGCCTATAATGTAGCTCTTTCCTCGGTGCGAGCGTAATACGTAGCTGCGTTTCCGAAGAGACAGAGCGGCGGAGTAAAGCTATGAAAAACTATCTCGTATTTTATGCGAAAAATACCGTACCATTTCGCAAAATTACGTCATGCGATAAAATTTTAAACGTAATCGTCGACTTATTGATTCATGACTTTGCAATAGCAATTTTTTGTACTTATGCTTTCGAGCATGCCTTCTTCTTTTCTCTCTGTCTCTTTCTGTCTGCTCTGCGAAACAACGAAACGTCATAATCATAATCCCATTAGCCTCTCATCATTATAACCCTCTAGCCGTATCTACACCCTCCAACTTTATCTCTGTACACCGATCCCCTATCTCTATCTGTGCACTCTCATTATCAGGACATTAGTCCCTCTCGATCAATAATGTACCTTCCACCTTTCCCTCGTTCCACCGTCGGATCACCCCCTTCCTCGCAGTCACCCCTGATCTAAAATCCGGCCGCAAACGGAGGTACAGTAAAAATCAACGGGACCATTACACGTGCAATTAAACGAACCAAAAAAAAAAAGAAAAAAAAAGTGAAAGAAAGAGGGAAAAACAAACAGACAGACAGAAAGAGAGAGAGAGAGAGAGAGTGTGTGTGTGTGTGTACGCGCGAGAAAGAGAAATGAAAAAAAGGCAGGAGGGAAAAAGCTGGAAAAAATCAACGAACGACGTGTCGCGTGCGTGCATAGGCCCCATCGAAAAGGCAAATTGAATTTCGAGTAACCATGGTGACTGCGTAACGGTGGCGAACGACCACAGCCAGTGTGTGCGTCGCTCGCTCGCTCGCGCGTATGTTACGCGTGGAACGGAAGCGTGCGCGGGTCAGTCAACTTGGACGCGTGTAAGTGTCGGCGGCGCGGTATTCGTGTGCGTGCGTGTTACCGACGGAGACGCGCGCCAGGTGGACGGGGGGAGGAGGGAAGGGGGGGTGGAACGATGTGTAGGTGCATCGTGCATTGCGCATTTTATCGCCGCATAATGGCCTCCCGGCGGTTCGTTACCACCTACGTAATAAAGCCATATTAAACAGGACGGCTTAAAGTGTTAACCTGCTCTACCCCGTCGACGTCGCGCCCCGTTTCCAGCCCGTTTCCAGCCCGTAACGAACGTTGCTAAACGACGCGATACGTCAGCTCTGCGCAACCCCCTGTCCCAAACCGCCACCTTTGTTCCGTACGAATATCAGCCGCCTGTTTATCTCCTTCGTCGACGTGCGTGCACAGTTTGGCAGATAGGGTAATTTCTTCCTGCTCTGGAGAAGGGGCGCTGTGGTGAAGGGAGGGGAAGGAGAAGGGTAATTGTTGCCTCGTGGTCCCTTGGAT